GACCCATATATATCTTAAAAGTATAAGAAAATCTGTGATAAATCTTAAAATTTCTGAAATATCTAGAATTTTTTAAATTAATTCCAATCCTTTGTGTTATTGGTATTAAATCGGTTTATATTGATATGTGAATAGGAATACAAGGGAGAATCAAACAATTTGATTATTTTCTTTGTATCGGTTTATTATAAATAACAAGATGCATATATTCGGTGCGCATGTGTCATTTAACTTGTATAATATATATATTTATATATATATTTTTATATATATGTAATCAAGCTCCAGCTAAGTTTATTTCGCTTATTCCCTGTACTATATATCTCGTTTATGCTGAGTGATTAATACACACCGCGCTACAATCTGTTTCGCGATACCACGTGAAAAATTCGAGAACGAATTTTGCGCGTCATGCGACAAAGGGAAATCGTGTTATCTTCTCACGAGGTAGAAGTGGATGCTGGAAATCGATTTGCTCTCGATCGCGCGTACTGAGTGATTCTTTTAAGCCCTTCGAAACCAGCGGCATTACCCATCTTTCGACATTGATGTACCAATTACATAAAATGTAGATACAAATCCGATAGAATTTCTTAGGGTTAAAAAATACTTAAAAATTTATTCGTACTGATATGCGTCTCGCGAGAGAATGTCTGGATTAAGATTGATCAGTCGACGAACAATTTAATGATATTCGGGCATTGAACTTGGCCGATATGTCTAATTAAATTCAGTAATACATCGATGTACGAGTTTAACATATTCGTTGTCTTGAGCGTCGAGATAATTCATGCCAATAATCGCCATGTCCATAAGGAATTCTCTCTATCTGGAAACGAAGGGATTAACGGCGGAGCATCGGTAATCCTTAAAAGCTACATTATATTATATATTTATATAGCATTCACATTAGAGCAAACTTTAATGCGTGCGCTCCCTCTCGTATCGTATTCCCACAATCCTAATGCTCTCCTATGCTCTCGACTATCTTTGCCTTAATTTGCGATAATCTAAACAACGCGCGTGTGTATACTTATTACATATTTTTATAAACTTTCTTACATCTCTTTACATCTCTTTACACAGGTTTTTATGTAACCTTCTGTCCCACGAGATGTCCGTTGCTTCCACTTCCTTCGTCATTCTCGCACATCTTTTTATCATTACCTGCCGTGAAATCAGAGAAATCCATAAATTACTCGAATAAATTTCTTTTCCAAAGTGTTTAATAAAGTTTAAACAGTTGTGTTTAAAATAAAGGAAATTTTCCTGTAGCCAGTTGTGTCGGATTATTCAATCTAACTGTTAATCAAGCACTGGCGATTCAATACTCGAAACTCTTCTTAAAGTTTAAAGTAATGTTACATGTGGAAACTGATTTTGTTACTGCTATAAAATTGTTTCACCATTTATTTTGCTTCATTTGAAATGTAATCGAGCATTAAGATAAAACAAGTAACGTATTACGATTTACTTATATTACATTTGTGTACGTAAAAATTTGATTGATTTAGGATTGATCTTGATCAATGAAAGATATGTTTATGCCGATTGTTACAGGCGCAACGTCTTCGAGACAAGTTGCGCGAAAGATGGGAAATTTCGGGGGACGCATTTAAAGCACGTATATAGAAAATTATAGACGACTAAACTTTGAAAAGCTATGTACGACGTCTTGTAGCAGGCACATCTTATCATATCACGCTAGAGGCTCGATGAAGCCTGGTAAAACCACACAGAGATATTGAACTCGACATTTGCCGTATTCCTTAGTTCTTGTAACGACTAATTACGTATTTCCCTTTCTTTTTCTATACCATTCTTACACATATGCATTCGTTCGCAAGCGTTCTTTTTCTTCCTCATACGGGCAGTCTCTTTTGTTGTTAATTAAAGAAAGGGTACGAACGGTGCGTAAGCGCAAATGAACGAATTCTCAATATGTAAAGGGTTAGAAATTGTAGATTATCGAAGACATTCCCCTTAAAAGATAATATTTGCGACAAGATTGCTGAATTACGTTGTCTTTTTTGCGAAGGGATCGTTGCAAAGTTATAAACCAATTTTTTTGTTTCAGACTTTATCAATTCTAAATTAAAAGAATAAGAATAAAGAATTTTATCAAGAATATCCGTTCAACAACAATATTGTACCAATATTGTAATCATTTTCGGTTTTAATGTACGTTTATTTGAAAGTTCATCTCGAAGTTTTAAATAAACGTGAATATCAGTTTGTATAAAATAATATATAAAAAATAAGAAAAATATTGTAATTACAAACTAGTTGTATTAGTTCGTTTGATTCTTTACGAGTTGAATAAACGTGAGCGATAAAACCGAAAAACAAGACGGTATATTTAAAATCTAAATAAATCTTTTGATGCTGCAAAATATAACTGAAAAGTTAGATTTTGTAACAACTTTTATGTTATATATAAAAGAAAATTATTTTTTGCGAATTGAATTTAACGCAAGGAAAGTAGACATTTCTGCCTATAAAATAAAATGTTTTAATATTTTTATTATATGTGAGAAATATAAAGGTAATTTAATTAATATTTGTTTATAAGAAATTCTTTGTAATATGATTTAATTACTTTTGGTTTGAAAAACGCGTACGGAAAGCAAAGATGCGCGTTTTTCCGCGATGTGTTATTGTCATGCAATTTTGAAGCCTTGCGCTACGTGATTTAATTCTTCAGTATTCATTTGTAATTATATAGCAATTCTTCGCAATTTTAAAATTAGCGCTCATACATGAAATCTTTCTGTTATTGTAGCAAGCGTGTTATCATTGTTTTACATATTTGTAAAGTTAGAATCGTGGACTTTGCTGATATAACATATATTCACGTATATAGAGTTGCATCAAACACGTTGGATATTTAAAAATCAGGTAACAATATTAAAATTTCCACAAGCGAAACGTTGGTTGAAATTTAAAAAAGTATTACCTTTTCATTAAAATAAATGTAAAATAATAACCATGAACATATCCTAAAATAATTGAGAAACTTTCACGATAAAAAATGAACGATGTTCTTAAAAGACGCTTTGCACCATTCATCAAAGATTAAAAAAAAACCTGAAACTAAAAGCTATCTTATATCCGTCAATAACGCAGCAATAACATTATTCTCTCATTTATCCTTAATACTGTTCCTAACAACATTGCGTGTCGGGCAAATATAATATCGATAAAAGATCTGACATCTTTTAAGTAGTAAACTCTATCTTTAAAGCTCTTAACTTATAGTCATTTAGAATTAAACATTTATTACGAGCGCGTGTGGTCGATTCAGCGCAAATCGCGATTAAAGTAAATGTGGTGCCGATGAAAAAGCTTCGGAAAGAAATAAACGATTAGTGCCGCGAGGGATCGTTGCCGGACGAAACCTTTCTAAATTGTTGAATTGCGTCATTGTTCGATTATGCTCGTTTGATTACGTAACGAAAATCGAGGGCGGTGGTAGAATTCGGCGATTAGCATTTAACAGACGACTGCCTCCGATATCGGGTTCTCCGTGATGTGTATGGTCGCGGTAGGCCAGTCGATCTTCTTGCTGCAAACGTGATTCAATCCCTCCAACGAAGCCAGTCTGTAATCGGCCATTTTTAACGGCGACAGCGGGGCCACTGTAAACGAAAATACCGGAAGGTAGTATCTTCGATTTCGCCCCTTTACGTTTACCTTGCCTTGAAGAGGCTGTAACGCGCATGTAATTACGTTCGTTCGTTCGAATTTTGTTACGCAAAACGTGGAAAATCGCTTAACGAAGGATATGTAAATGAAAGAAAGCGCACATGCAAAGTAAAAGGAGAAACAAAGGTGTATTGTTAGTGGACTGTTGTGTGCGCATAGCGAGACGTTGTGGACTGACAAGGACTGTTCACTATTCTATGTTGCCCAGGTGCGAGATTGCTTTGTTCTGTCTTTCAGTCTTTTTGAAAAAAAAAAAAAACAATTTCACAAAAAGAAACGTTGTAAATATTGGCTGTGTGCTGTTGCAAAATGAGTCAATTCCTTTTTTATTCATGTAAAATAAATACTTCAATTTGGATCACCTGTATTAGAGTGTAGCGCAACAGGTCGGTCTCTGTTAATATCGCAAACAGATAGTACCTTGCTATCGATTACAGAGAAACTATGAAACAGAAGAACTCAATCGGTAAGACCAATTTATTACAAATTATTTCACCGGGCATTACTAATATTCGCTGTGCTTCGTCGTTCGTCCGAGACTCTGTAGTCGCACTTTTTGTTATAAAACATTCATGAATGTCCGTGAAACGAAATGAGTACAAGAAGAAAGTTACAGATGCGAAACAAGTGTAGGAATAAGATACGTCCACGCTGATATATGCGAAAAGGTTCGATACAAGGCGCTAATTAGAGACTTTGTTCACATTCTTGTCATCACCAGAGTAGACGAGATCATTACGGTATTAGGAGAATTGTTAGGATTATTAGTTGACATTAATCTTTTTCGAAAATCTTCGGGAGTCCAGGGTAGCCCAGGACATATAATTTTCTTGTTAGTACCTTTCATACCTTCCGATAAAAGTTTGAATTCCGACTTACTTAACATATAGACGTGGCCTAATTGACCAACTGCGCGCTCGACTCTCCTTGCGGCCTTCAATTCCTAATTACAATTACCTTCGGGTGTTGTCGGCTTCACGGGCTTCCGCGGGGATCTCACCACTAAAACGTATAAAAAACAAATATTCCTTAAAAATCACAAACGAAACATTGTTATGTGACGCACTGAATTCGCAACTGCTATCTTTAAAGCATTTCTCGTGCGGAACACTGATAGGCCTATTGGTTTTAATAATTACGAGTGAAATATTATAGCAAAATAATAGTGCAACAATTGATTTGCTTAAAGTATCGCTGTGTTCGTTACAATATGCAATATGTTTAATTTACTTTATCTATTGCCCTTCGACTCAGATTTATATGTCGATACCAAATAAAATTGATCACTTTAATTACCGGAAAATATTGCAATATACTTTCTTTGTGCAAAATAAATTCGTAGAATTTAAATACCTTTATTTTTTGTTTCTCAAATTATTCCTAATCGCACATGATTAAAAACAAAAATAATTACAAAGTCTGAGCCGAAATTCGATTTGTTTCTAGACAACAGACAAATGGAAGGCTTAGTTTTAATTCTATAACGCTATATCTTATTTTACAAGCGTGTCGTCTTCAACGCAGGTCGTAGCATTTGGAATTACCCGAAAAAAAGGAAACAGCAAATAAGCCGAAACTAATTACGCTACTGTTCAGCTGAAATTGTTGTAATATATACGTACCACTCGATCGATCCGAGACGCGTGGGAAATAAAGGCGCAAGTCGATGAACATGTATATTACTTTTTTCTTATTTTGTCTCAGTTTTCTTTTTTTTTTTAAGTAAAGCTCGAAACGTATGTTGGCAAAATTCACAGACGAATTCAACGCAACTTTTTTTTTAAGTCACTTTTTATTTATCAGTCGAGCCAGTGGCTTTTTAACGAATAGAGGTACATGTTCGAATACGTATTTGAACCTCGGTGTAATCAGGTAGCTCTCACTATTAATTAACACAGAGATAAAGCAGTTTATTTGTCAAGTTTATCATAGTACATTTAATTAGCATTGTCATGATAATTGAAGACACACACAGTATTAACCCTGTTACACCCGAATTCAATTACGTCTAGTTGTTAGTATTTTGCGCCACTTGTACAACATGGAAATATTCATATAATAGCGACAATTGCAACAACAATTAACGACGATGAAGATGGTAGAAATAACAGTTTACTCAGCGCGACAATTTGAATGTCATTCGCAGTTATTCGCTACAATTTATTATAATTTTATATTAATTAGAGAATGAAAAAGGATTCAACCGAAGAATGAAAGACATGGCACGGAACTAATTGTGAAATTATATAATCAGATCTTAAAATATTTTATTTGTATCGGTTTGTGAGAAAGCATAGTGTTTCGTGATCAGTTTTCGTGATAAACAAGCTAAATGAAATAATGATCTAGAGTTAATTAAAAGGAGCATTATTTATACCTTCAATTATGTGTAAATGTACCTTTCTATCGTTTTCATAAATATATAAGCACAATACTCTTTCAGCAAAAAGATATGCTCCATAACGAAAAGTATGTGTGCAATATTGTTAAAAAAAAGAAAGGAAACTTCATATCTTAAAACTCTAAAACGTTAACTTATAACAACAACTATTTTACACAGTCTCGATTTAATATACGTATATTTACTTAGAGAAAACATGCACTTAGATATTTCACGCGAATTGATTTCTCCTAATATTTTTAAAGATCGAACGATTTTATTACTTTGTCACATTTTATCGTTTGAATTCGATAATAAAATAAAAGTCATGATATTTATACAATGAGCATTCAATATCTGACATATATGGTCTACTCATATCACGTCTATTAAAAGAAAGATATCGGCTAAAGACACACATTCATTCGAAGTATATTTAAGTATGTAAAATATTTGCAATAGGCCAACATGTTTTTTTAATTCATAGTAACAGGGTATAGCAGTCGATAAAGTGAACTTAATACTACAAATGGTCGCAATCAAAGTTTCTCGCTTTTCCAATTCGACATCTAGCCGTGCGAAAAATTATGTGATCACTTGCAGAGCCTTGGAAGTTTCTCTTCCTCGCGCATAATTATTTACAATCATCTGTGACGAACAGATTGGCCGCAGTTTCCTTTTTTTTTCCGCTTCTTATTACACGTATGTCATTAATTACAAAAAAATATATTTTCTATGTTTAGTTCTACCGAAACATCTTGCGTCATTCTGACATAATTATTTTCGATGATTGGCAGTAATTACTGACATCTTACGCTTCCGCTTGCAAGCGATCACGAGATATTTTCCTTACGAAATTCGACGACGCGTGCGCGAATTGCTTATTACCAGTAAAGATTAATGAAAATTGTTGATTTCGTAATATGGTGATTAATTTCTGAAATATGGTTCACGAGAGAGAAACGCTCACTTACCATATCCTTCGCCTTGAAGAAACAGTCGGAATGCCTCGCTTACTTTACCCGGTTGTTCTTCCAATACCATACCGCAATCCGATATCTATAAAAGATATAATTAATTACTTCTTGAGATACCATTTGAAATAAAGTTTCATCGGATTTATCAAAGTATCGTTTACTATTAAATTTTCTGATTTATGGTCACAGTTCTACAAAATATTATTTCCCGAATTTAGTAAAAGATATCTGTCTAGTTGCTCGACGGTAAATAGAATTGCAACATGTTTTATCATATAATTTCATTTAAAATACACATTGCGCGAACGTATATTGTGTTATTTATTTTTAAAGGGAAACAGTTATCTGTTTACATTTGTTTCAATTTTATTTTATTTTTGAAGTTATAATCGAGGGGTGAACCGCTGACCAAAATTATCATCACCAATATACCAATGCCCACTAATGCCCACTGGGCATTACTTTATCTTATTTTATTTTTACAATGCCCCAGCAAGGTCTAATGCCCCAAAAATGCCTAGTAATGCCGCAAATCTGTACGCCACAATGCCCTCAGTGGTTTATCCCTCGGTTATAATGTACGCTTGAAATATCAATGCATAATGTTTCATTAAGCGCTTCATAATTGACAACTTACTTTCATCCAAGAGCTGTTTGTCGGATCCAAACGTCCATTTAACGTTACGGTATCGTCAACATGAGGGCTTAAAGCACCCGTGATGTTCATCACTGGCACACTAAGCGTCAATCCCTCCTTCTTGCGCGTTGGGTCCAGTTCTCTTGTTATGTTCAAATCCGTGCGGCGAACATAACTGTCGATGAATAATGCGAGATTCGTAGGATTTACGCGACGCTCAAAATAGTTCTTGTACACTTGAACCAGATCGTGATTCCGTTCTTCAGTCCCCTGCACAAAATTACATCATTTTTTCATAAATACATGTTACACGCAGATTAATTTCACATTATTTAACATCTTCGAATTTATCTTGTTACTTATCACAAAACATTCAGACTTACGTTATAATCAGTAAACATTTAGTAGAATATAATGTTTCAAAATTTAAAGGTAGTTTCTTTTTTAAGCAGCAAGCTATTACAAACTATTATCCTTCCATAATCATAGCAGTAAAATTTTCTACAAATATCAGTTAACTTCTTAAAAGGACGACTTTTTTACGTGTCTAATATTACAAGAGTTTCACTGACATTATTACTTTTTACTTGATCATATATTACTGTTACTTTTACTATGACCTTATACGGATAATTGTTAGGTAATAAAAATTCGAAATATTGCTCTCATAAAATTAAATTGAACGATTAAAGCGTAAAGTTGTAAAAATACACGAAATATAAAGTTTGGTTTGCTAATAGGAAAAATGCATGCAAGTTGCACGCAACTTTGTCATTAAAATAAATCCCGTATTTCTATCTCGGCTATTATATTTGTTGAACGAACAATCTCGAAATCTGTTTCGGTAAACCATCGTGCGCTCATGATACGATATATTTTTTTGTATCGTGAAGACAGTAAAAACGTCCGACAAGTCCCATTAGTGTCAAATGAAAGGAAAAGACAATGAAACTAGGAAATGACGATGACGTCAGCTTTATTTGAAAATTATGTTTCCCTGTTTTTCTGAATAACACTGAAAATCTGATAACGACCTAAATACCGCCAGCACAATGTGTATATGTGTGGGCGTGTATGTTTATATCATTAATCTTCAGTTAGCTTTTAATCTCATGTATCACGTTACACATCATTTTTTATTCTCTTTAGAACAAGGTACATTGAAGGTACATCGTAAATATTATAAAATAATTAGCAATAATTATATGTACAACATTACACGTTTAGAATAAAGCGCATTTTATTTCTGGTTATTAATATTAATAATAGCAGCATTAAATTTTACGTTAGTTAAAGTTTTTTTAATTTAAAATTATCGACAAATTCAAGCATGGGCAACAGCATTTTTTTACTACGCAAGCTATCAACATTTTCTCCAAAAATCGATATTTCCTATTATTTTATATTTGTTTTTTCAAAGGTTAGAGGTCGTCTTTGAACGCAATAATCTTTACGTAGTATAACAAAGGGAACTGTCAGTGTAATCCCCAGTTTCCATGGAGATGTTCTAACGAACCTTTGAAAGCTTAAGCTCTGTCGTCGATAATTCATCTTGCGTTCGCGCATGAGCGCTAACTCGGTTGACATTATTTTACGCCTTATAAAAGCCTGCTAGTTTATTAGAGATATACTCATAGAGTATATCTAGTAAGATAATCTTGCTCGTGGGGAATACGATTAACTCCCATAAAACACGTTAGAAAATGGACTGAAGACATTTGCATTAGGATAATTAAATAATTTAATTATTTAATAGTTTGGATAAAAGAAAAAAAAATTTTTAATAGATTAAAGTTTCCTTTATAAATTAATCTAACACATTTATGTACGTTTCTTTGCTATCCGGATAATAAAGTAATTTTATCCGTTTTTTAATGCAACAAAAATGTCTTTCATAAAATGTGTTCGAATGCAGTGAATTAAGTTGTAATATAAATTTTACGTGGTTTTGCTCACGATTTCATGTTAGCTACACAAAAATAAATTTCGCCAGAGGAAATACACGACAATTACGGATTTAAATATATTTACTTAATGGCAATGCGTTAAATATTTTCAGTGGTAAATTCTAATTAACTTTTAAAAAATTATTTATTAGTTTTTTAAAATTTATTGTCAAATAAATTAAACCGTGCCAAATCTTTGGAGATTTTTGTGTTTAAGATATTACTTATTATATGCTGACTCATAATCTTATAAACTTAAATTTAAAACGTTGTGGACTTACCCTGCCAAAATGATGCCACATCAGATAATCGAGAACACCCTGGGTCATTCCCTGCGATCTCAGGTGGCGTACATTCAACTTTTGATAACCCCACTCGATCCATCCTGCCTGCGTGGACACGCAGTTTATCAGGCACAGTGCATTTACTTTCTCCGGATGGGCAAGTGCAAATCTTGCCAGTATATTGGCACCAGCTCCGACTCCGAAACCGATTACAGATTTTATGCCAAAGTGGCCAAGAACGAAGAGCAGCTGTTCGGCCAGCTCTTCCATGGACGGATAAGTAAAACTGAAACATGTTATCAATTAGTTTCAATTTCCAATTGTCGTTTCATGAGACAAATGAATATTACATAACTATAAATAGAAGAGAATTGAAAACCGATATATCAATATTTAAAGCTTATACGATCTTTGGCGGACTTGGCACGCGAACAAAACCAATTGACAGAACTTTCGCATGCAAATCTGCATTGCGGTTTAAATTATTTTATAACGTGGCATTTAGCTAAAAGAGAAAGAGAGTCGGAAAGTGTCTCTTTGAGATAAGCCTTCATACTTATAATCTACAAAATTAATGTTAATAAAAAAATAATTTCTTAATCCAACGACAAGTCCATTACACCTAGTTTTGAACTAACATTATCGAATCATTATTTATTTCTAATAAGTTAAATCTCTGTTTATAAAAATCTGAAGCTTAATTTTATTTTTAAGTGTCTCCATTATCTTATCGTTATGAATATATTAATACATTTAATATTTTCATTTACTTGTACAAGTGTATAATTGTTTATTATACATAATAAATAATATACAAAAGAAGAGTAACAATAAGAACAATATACAAAATTTTTTATTATGATTGGTAAAAATATGCTTAAATTTTATCAATTGTATCTAGGCTTTATTTCAAACGATAGATTAGACAGAGAAAGAGAAGAATTATGTAACAATCGATAAGTTTGAATTCATACAAGTGCATAGGTAGCGATATTACGATAAAGCATGAGCATTCATGTAACGAACATATAAAGAAATACGAGGATAGCTTTAATTAAATCGTAAAATTTTGAGGATTTATGAGTATATGTTGTCATCGGGATATATTGGATTGATATTCATTGAGAAATTAATTAGGTTATTGATTCGCGCAAATTGAGTTGATATATTATGAAACGATGTACGCGTATTGTATTTGTAGCTAGAAGTAATGGGAGTTTAGTTAGAAGAATTTATTAATTAAATTATCATTACGTATTAATTAATTTATTAACAGACTTTAGTAAAGAAAACTAATATTTTAATGGATCTTAGTAGGTAAAGAGAATTAACGTGAATTAAGTTTGACTTTGAAAAATTAATTAATATTTGTTTTTCTTCTATTCGTTATTAAAAAATTCACTCACTCTTCGGGTAATGTCGGTGCACCTTCCTCTTGTCCGGGTGCGTTTACGTGGTATACGCAGAAGTTTTCGAGTAGAACACGCATATCGATGTAATTAAAGAATGCCTGGAAGCTCGAGATGTCTATAAGAATAATTTTTATATCAGATATCATCTTATAACGTGATAATACACGATTGAAAAATATTTAAAACACGAATGAATAGGAGTGAAATATTATAATAAAATAGAAACCAAGAAACTTTATGGTTATAAAGTTTCTTGATTTCTTAATCAAATAAACTTTACTTTCTATAAGAAGATATATTAAAGACAAATGTCTTACTTGTTCCCGTGTTATAAACTACTTACAGTTAAGGCCTAGATCGTGATAAGTAAGGATAGCTGGTTTCGCTCGATTTCCTTGCACCGCTACCAGCAAACTTCCTTTGTCGGTCTCCACCCTTTCTTCCCGCACAGAGCTGTCGTCTCTGGAGAGATATCTCAGTGCCGGAAATTGCAACTGAATGTTTTTTAGCTCGATGTCATCCATGCTATCGGAAGGCATCGTGCTGCACAGGAAAATGTGACATTTAATGATGAGCCTCGCGAATCAAGAGTTGAAGTTTCCTCTTAAAACATTAAATCGCACGATAACAGTTCAGTAAATGTAAAATAATAGATATTACAGCTCGCGTCTCGCGGAACACTTTTTCGTTGAACACTTGTCTTTCAATTGTATTTACGTAGATGTTATTTAGTGGAAACATAAATAATGGACAAGTAGCAGTTTTTCTGTTTATTTTCTCAACTTCAAATGTCTATTGTTATCCAAAACGTTGATTTCCTATATTTTCGAGTTATCGTTCAATTCTAGGCAATTTATAAAACCGATAAGATGCAGTTTGTAGCATACAAGTATTGTTCATCTAATTATAGATTATTATCTAGAGTACTCTTATCGCTTTTCGTACGTGCGTTCATATAGAAGAAGATAAAACGAAACAGATGGTGTTTTGGTTGGTTACTAATTGAAAGTTATTAAGTCTTACGGTTTTTTAATCTCTTGGTTAAATTATTGTCTTTAAGTTTACTTTCTGTAAGAAGATACGTTAAAGAAAAAAAATTTACTTGTTCTGGTTAATAATTATGTCGGGTTAAAAAGATTGACATGTTTTACATACAATATTAATCCTGTTTAACATCTAATTTTATGCAGAGAATAATTGGAAAATTTTCTTATATTTAAAAATTGGTTAATTTTCAATTTCTTAATAATTTTATAACAATATATGGGAAATAATTTGTTTAATTTGGTGTATGGTTTATATCTCATTGAGCAGTTAAAAAAAAGATCAAATGTACGAAGAGTTCGTATAAAAATTGCTAATTTTTCATTTCGCTATGAACGTTCGGTTATTGCGGCTTGCATCGTCTCAACTATACATGTTTGAAAATAAGATGACGTTGTTATCTCGCGGAACATTATGCAAGATTCTTTTATTCGCTCGGTATACGTAAAATCGTGTATTAGTCTAGATGTTGACTTTTTTGCAGTATCGATTTATCTGCCACGCCCAGTCGGTCGAAGTGAAGTTGAAGAGACCTTACGAAGATGCTTTTAGACGCTTAATCACGGAACGCATCTCTGACATACCTTCGTCGGGTGATCATGAAGTTGATTGGATTCAAGTTAATTATTTCTGATCCGGCGGCTCGGAAAATTCGAGGAAGTGTTTCTGTTCGGTTGGTAAGTTAAAAATAAATCATTCTAGAGATTTAAGCGCGAATTGAAACTATCTGCTATATAATTTATTTTCAAATGGACAGCAACGGTAGACTGCCAATATAAATAATGGGCTTTAAATTTATATGCAGCGTTAACATTTATAAAGTTATATGTATATTAAAAAATTTTACGCACTTGAACAAATCTCTTGAGAAATACTGTAGTGGCGTACAACTATTATAATGGTTAGATAATAATTATCAGTTAATCACAGTACTTATTGTTAGTGATATGATAACGAATTTTAGTCCAAACGAAAGTTTGTCTTCTCTATTTGTCTCAACTCGTTACAAACATAACGTATTTACGCTAATCTCTTCAAATATCGTTTTAGCAAACATAATAACAAAAAATTGCTTATTTCATTATTCAAGAATAAAAACATTTATATTGTTTGTACTATATTGCTTTATTATTTGATAAAAGGAGCAATTTTTAATAATGCAATTAATAACATTTTATAATATAATTTATGTTGCGATAACGCATTAATAATGAATAAAACATAAATTACATGTAATTTAATGGCCAAGGAAGACAACGGATCTTCTAGTAATCTATTAGCGGTTCCATATCAGCTTAAAGTTCTTACGTGCCTCGCTCGTAAATACATTTAGGGTCAGATCGGAATAAGCAATATCCCCATGTTATTCTAAACATATAATAGCGGTAGGCACCTTAATCGTCCGAGGTGTTACATCGAGACGTCCAATTAGTCGTGAATTCGCTTAATGCTCGAAAGACCTACTTCGGTAGATATCCCAGGGGATTCATGGCGCCAACCCAATTTCAGCAGAACGAACGTAAAATGTCAGGAACCCCGTTTGACCTTTTCACACGGTCATGCGCGCGTACGTACGTTAACGAGATAGATAATTTTTTGAGAGGCACGTCATCGAAAATATTACCGTCCCACAAGGGATCCACTCTTTCTCACGCTTTCACGAGTTTTCCCATGTTTCCGGACTATTAACCGAAATTCCATTGGCCTATGTTGGCGTGAATGCGGCGTAATATATTACATCATTTACACGAGGCGTAGGAGGTGCGTCTTTTTACGTCTCGCTTCCCCACACGCCGACCCGAATACGCGCGACCCGCCACAACATTCGCTTTATTAAATTCCTTATCTAATCTGTTGCCTGTAAGGTAGACTGCACGCACGCATTTTCACACGAGGGCACTTGAATTGATACTACGGTCACTTATTTTCCGCGTCTACTACTGCGTTGCGGTGATTTATTATTAGCATCATGGGTTTGCATTGAACGCCAAGATTTAGTCTCAATCTATTTACATCATTACGAGAGCGAAGAAGAAAGATAGAGCAACATTTATCTTAAAAAAATGTTGATACGTATATATTATAATTTTTCATATATGATCATAAAGGTTTGCATTTATATAATTTCTTATAATTATAATATCTACAACTACTTAATTCAAATATTCTGCAGTTTAACAAATACATTTATATAACTTTTTCTTTGATATTACATATTATTCGGACATACATTACGATGAGTGAGAAACTATTGTTTTTTCTTCTTCACTTCTCTTCAATTATCTATTTTGGATTTTAGCAAATAAAAATGTAATAAGTGCAAAAAGACAATGGGAAAATATTGTTTTCGTGAATAGTTATAAAATGAAAGAAATTGGTCCTACAGATTTATGACCCTCTTTGCAGACGGCGTCGCAATGACTGGCGTTGGCGGTCGATAAAAGCGAACGTGTCATCACAAATGCACTATGAAATCAATTGCAAAACACTTCGGAACTCTCGATTGACAGAGATCTCGATTTGAATTGACTTTCAATTATCAGGATGATGAACGATCTTTGTAGTAGTTTCCATAAAGTCGATTTTACTTCAAAACAACCGCGCATATTTCTCGTTCCATTAAAAAAGATGACATACTCAATTCTTTAATATAACATTTAGGAACAATCAAAATATAGAACAGAGATGAAAGCCTAAAAAATTCTGAAGCAATAATTTAATTACATGTTTTCATAAATTTACAATTGCTTTTTCTTTAGATAGTCCGGAAAAATTAAACAGATATAATGAAATAGTTAATTTTCGATACTTTTATTGACACCAATATACCTTATTCATTAATTAGATTCTTTAATTTATAACATGCAAATATTGATAATGATATGGGTGTCATTGTAAGTATAGTAAGAATTGAAGCATTAGTAATCCGTTGTCAGAGTAAAAAGTTGCGTTCTTATGTTTTTGTTACGTTATGTGACACATTCTGTGACCCAATTCAGTATAAAAATCTATGTTGGAAAAAACCTATGAAAAGGAAAGAGTATTAATGTTAAACTTTACTTTGCGACAGATAGATAACCACAAATTCTCGAATCACGATATCTCAATGATATCAAATTCCAAGTCTTTTCTGCCAATTTCTTCGCTATAATAAATTCTCTGACAGAAAGATGTTAGGAACGTTGTTATCTGAAAGAGTATTTGAATAGCAAGCAGGGACACAATGCTGATCACAAAATCTACCGAAACAGAGTTTGTAAAATATAACAAGGGAGATAAGAGCGGCGGTACAATATATAATTTTGATCCAAGTCGTATTTTTTCTCGGCATACATAAATAAAGATAGACTAAATGTAATAGATACGTAATACACTTTGCATTTTGCCGAGGTCTTATAACCGGTGCGTTTTGCGAGGAAACTTTGTTTCACCATTTGCGGAATTGGATGTATTCTCTTTCCATTTCTTAACGCAACTTGAGTTAAATCAATGCACCGCTTGAAGCAGAAAGCTATCTCACGAATAAAAATAAAAAGTATCGCGCCCAGTCACCTATCGGTATTGCGTTAAATGCAATCTAGACAAAGTGTATAAATAATATAAACATTGCAAAAGAAATTTACGTTACAACGAAAAGTGTATCTTATAATTTAGGAGAATCCAGTTAAGCCAAGAAAAAAAAGAAGGAAATTTAGTTTCTTCGAAAACCGTGAGACTTTAGACTGTCGAAGAAGGTTATTTCGAAGTAGACCGTTTATTCTTTTTGACGTGACATTTAATCGTGAAAGAATTGCAAAGTTTAAGACTCCTGAAGCGAAAAGTTATCTTGTGCATATATGGTTAAAATACTTGCTGTCATATTTTTATGGTAAGAGCAAACTATAAGAATAATAAAAATAAAACTTTCTAATTAATTTTTCTAGTACTATGTTTCATAATATTAATTCATAAAAACGTTGTGGTATAAAAATGATCTTTTATAAAGTTACTTAGGTTTATTTCTTTAAATCAACTACAAGTAAAACTTTACATTTTCGTTCTTATATTAAACAAATAGCATTATTAATGTTGAAATTAACAAAACAAATAATAACTTGACATACTCGTTTTTTCTTCACGTGATAAATCATTACGGTGTGTTATTATCTACCTGAAAATATTCTCAGTTTCTTGAACGCATTTTACTCCTGACATTTCACTCTTTATTTTTGAAATAAAGAATTCCGGTCCTTTTTTTAAATATTGCTTTTTCTCTCAACTTGCGTTGCAATAAGAATCATGTTAGTGTTTATGAGCTACTTCGTGTCATATAAAGCTGCCATGAAGTTTATCGTAGCCCTTTGTCGTACCCTCGGTCGTACACTGCGAGAGTGTTCTAGAAAATTTTTATCGTTTTTTACTGACAAGAAGATATATTATCACTTTTCCATGTATATTATAAGTGCGCTTCTACACTTGTTAGCACAAAACAATTTTTATATTTTGACGTTATCATGGCG